AAGTGGCAATTATATCCTAATGCCACATTTGATAATAATCTGTGATATGCACATATGACATTAATGGATTTAGATAACCACAAGAGATTTTATATTACACAAATTTTTATTATGTAAGGTGGCTTTGATAGTCAATTCGTCATATATTTTTGTCTTTAAAAAAAATGTATAATTGTATTATTAAATATCATATTTTGTGATGTTATTTTAAGAGTATGAATTTAAATGTCTAACCTTATTTGTTTATAATTATGGTCTCACATAGTGCATTAGGGTATTAATAGTAGTGTATAAAGTGGAAAAGCAAATGTTAAAAACCAATAAATGTAAAGCCATTCAAAGGAATAAAATAAGGTACCTCTAACTTTGGGCTTGTGAGGTGTTAAAAATTTTCAATATTATTTTATGACATTCAAAGATTCTTAAATTCGTTGAAATATAATTGAATATTGTGCAGGAAAATCAATTATTTACTTTTATTTTTTGCATGATAGTGACTAATTTTTTATAGTTAAATATTTAATTGACGTGGAATAAAAGTATTCCACATTAACTAGTTGTTAGTGGTACATTTACTTTCACAAAAATGAATGAAAAATAATTTACTAAATTTGATAATTTAATGGACATTAAATTGTGTAAATCTTGAATGATCAAATAAGGCTAAATTGCAATTTTAGTCCTATTAGGCTATGTAGGTAGCAATTTAAGTCTTACTGGAGCGATATATAGTAATTTAACTGCTGTAATTTAAAATTTTACTGCCATTTCAGATATTTTTTTACTATCAAAAAAATTTTGATGGCCAAAAGCATAGAATTGCACAAAATTTCAAATTACAACACTTAAATTGCTAATCAAAATCCATCTCAAATATATAAATTGTGAATTTTGAAATTGCAACAGAATATTATGTTATACGACTTAAATTGCCACATTCTTCATAACCTAGCTTGACAAAATTTACAATTTAGCCTAAAAAAAACTTATTTTAGGTGAAACTCAGCAAGTAAAATGTTTGATCAACAATGTAAAGTGAACACGAACAATTTACTTGACCATTTTGAGGGATTGTTTTGGTGGTCTCAAGTGACTTGACACTACTTAATACTAGAAAAGTTTAGCATTGATATTAGATGATTGTTTCATGTTGTTATTACTATTTACTTTAGCACCACCTATCAAATCAAATATAGAATAAGTGATAAGGACATACAAAATAACCATATAGAAAAGAAAACATACAACAGTCTAACCATACAAACATTTTATATAGTATTAAA